GCTTTAACTGCACTGGGTTTGGGCATACATCGCACAGGTGCACTGAGAAGCAACGCTGTACCCACTGTACAAAACGGCATAAATTCAAGGACTGTCCATACCGACAAAGTGAACCCAAATGCTATAACTGTAGACATTATAATAAGATAGTTCCAGCAAATAAGGCGGTTTCGACCGATCACAATGCCTTTGACAAATCATGCCCGATGCTTAAAAGGTATAAAGCAAGTCAGATTCAGACAACATGTTATGAATAATGGCTTCCACCCAGGCTCTCAATATGGCTAACAACAGCATCTATAATCAGACTAATAATCCAACGCATCCAACAAAGGCTACCCTCAACATACTGCAAATAAACCTACAGAGGTGTCGGGCCGCCATGTCAAATACTGTCCAGACATCAGTAGAGCTGAATGCTGACATCCTCGCTTTCCAGGAACCCTACCTCTACGACAGAAAGGTCGCTCTGCTTGGCAGGGGGCCTATTTATACCTGGAGCAAGGACAACCAACCGATAAAGACAGGCTTTCAAATTGTCAACAATAACCTGAATGCCCAGCTGGTAACTCAATATTGTAACAACTATATCACTACCATCAGGGTTAGTTATGGCTCTCACCATTTGCTCATCCTAAATGTATATGCTCCACCATCAGAGGACATTCATCCCCCTCTAAATGCACTAAAACAGTATATAAATGAACTCTCTGCGAACCCAATCCTGGTTTGCGGGGATTTCAATTCAAAATCACCCATCTGGCATAGCTCAGTCGAAGATACAAGGGGACATGCGGTATGTGAATTCCTCTCTGAAATGGACCTCCAGTCTCTGAATTCTAGCCAGCTGCCTACTTTCTCTAGCAGCACTGGGAAAAGCTGGATTGATCTATGTCTCGGTAACCGAAACCTACTGAAATTTAAAATCACTTGCCAGACCCAAGGATGTCTATCAGTGAGTGATCACGCTTACATCTTCACCAAAATCTCATTTGCAAACTGCCCAGAAAAATTAACAATTCATAATGTCACGAACTGGGACCTTTACCAGGAATACATAAAATTCCACTGGGATCCCACAGATCTTACCTCAATCAATCAACCACAAGACATAGATTATGCTGTCGAACAGCTACAAAATGCTCTCCACAAAGCATACTTTCAAGCCACAAGAATAAAAACTAGTAAGCCCTCAGCCCCATGGTGGAGTCAGGAACTCACAACCCACAGGAAGAAAGTGCGTGTGGCTAAAAGGAAGTACAGGAAAGAATCAAAACCTATCAATAGGCAGGTACTATACCAAACCTATCAAAGGTATTTTAAAGAATATAAAACCCTGATCAATCAAACCAGAAGGAAATCATGGCAAAATTTTTGCAATGCCTCCAACGAACGGGGTCCCTGGGTAACCCCATACTACACAGCCATCAAGAAAAAGAAACCGCTCTCAACCCCAGCTACCATCGCAAACTCCCAAAAATATACCACCATTTTAGAAGACACCTATAAAACCATCTTCTCCGAACTGTTTCCTCCAGATAACCCCAGCACAGACACCAACTACCACAGTCAGATCAGGAAACAGAGTATGAACACCCTATCCAATGCTAATGACAGGCCTTTCACCACACAAGAAATCTCCAGGCAATTTAACAACATAAAAAAACGGAAAGCTCCTGGAACAGACTATATAGATTGGAGAATGGCTCAGCATGCTTACGCAGCCATTCCCACTACGTTCTCAGTCCTTTTTAATAAATGCCTAGACTGTGGATACTTCCCAAAAAAATGGAAGGAGGCCTCCATTAAACTGATACAAAAGGATAAGGACACCTCTCCAAATAAAGCAACTGACTATCGCCCCATCTCCCTACTCTCTGTGGTAGGGAAGGTGTTGGATGCATTAATGGCTGACAGGATCCTACATCATTTAAATGCTAATAACATCCTAAACCCCAACCAATATGGTTTTATGAAAGGAAGAGCCACCCATCACGCTCTAGAAAAGGTCATTACCTATGTTCAGGAGGCCAAACAAAAGGGGAAACACACAATCATGGTCAGCATCGACTTCAAAGGAGCATTTGACCACGCCTGGTGGCCAGCCATCCTGGCCACCCTTGCCAGTGCCCATTGCCCTCTAAACATCTTTAATCTGCTGACAAGTTATCTAACAGAAAGGTCCACCCTCACTGTGGAAAATGGTGAAACCCTATACAGGACCACCATCACCAGGGGGTGCCCCCAGGGCTCAAAGTCTGGTCCACTCCTGTGGAACATTCTATATAATGGTATCCTAAACCTCAAAAAAGACACCCCTCAAGACGGGAACCCCCATATTCAAGGGTATGCTGATGATACAGTCATCCTCCTTTCATACCAAAACCAAGAAAAACTTCAAAATTATACTAATAACTTTCTGGAAGTGATCTATAATTGGAGCAAAGATAACAACTTAATAATCAACTATAATAAATGCTCAGCTATAGTTTTCCCTAAAGGAAATCCATTACAAAAGAAGCCCACAATCAAGATAAACAGTGAGAAAATCCAAATTGTTAACAACTTAAAATATCTAGGGATCATTCTTGACCCTAAGCTTTCATGGAAAGATCATGTCTACTATTCCTATAATAAGGCCATCAGAGCCAGCCATAGCCTCAGGTCCATAGCCAGAAACGGATGGGGCCTCAACAGCACAAACAGCAAACTCATCTACAAATGTGCTATTGAACCCATCCTCACCTATTGCTGTGAGGTATGGGGGAAAAAAAGTTGTAGTCGCGACGCCGTTAGGACGTGCTTCACCTCGCTCCAGCTTTCGATCGTCGCATCGAAAGTTGGAGAATATTATATATCGTTGAGTTCGTCTCACGGTAAGCTATCGTTTAATATAAATTTTATTTGGATCGGTCCAGCCGCTCGGGAATTACGGGCTCCGGAAGTTTCATTATTTCCGGCCACTTTTTCCGTGCGATTTCCGGGGAGAAATCTTAATTCGTTATATCAAATTACTCGGCTGTTTAAAAGCTGTATAACGGCGTTTACAGTTTTTCGTTACGATTCTCCGTTCTCCAGTTATCCCGACCGATAGTCACGTGACCGCGGGCCAACGTGCGGGCTTATCGGGCCACCGAACTTGCCCATATCAGAGTACTTCTTTGGGTACCTAATTGTCTATCTGTCACGTTATATCCATTCGGCTACGTTTAGTAGTTTAGCCGCTACGGCTGTTTTAGTTTTTTACTCGAACAAAGGGGTGAAAGGTCATTGACCTTACCACGTGGTTGAACCTAGCACTCTAACTGACCCTAATTCGGGTCTCTCCCGCCCGGTTTTTCGGGTTGCGTTGGTCGTACACCCACGAGTCTTACACCGTTCGATCCATAAAATCCAGTGTATTTTGGCAAGTGTATTTGTGTAGTGATAACCATGGAAGAGACTACAGATTGTGTTTTATCAAATAACAGCTACGCTGAGGAGGACTTAATAGCTAATATCAATTCGCAACTTGAAATCATCGTTTCTAGCATACCTGCGAATACCAATGTGTCTGTGAAGAGTAAAGAAAGGGCTGCTGTCAAGGAAGCGGCCATCAGAATGCACGCGGCGGCCAACCAGATATTTGGCTTGGTCCTTGAGTTAAGACAACAGGTTAAAACCTTAACAAAGTATGAAGGGCTATATGGTATGGGCACCTACGCTGTGGTAACCAAGCGCCAGCGCACCCCCATCAGCAACACTACTAAATTGATAGCCAAAAAATCAGCCGCATTAGAAGGGATAAAAAATCCAAAAAATATGAACCATGAGATTATTGTATCGGCAATTAAAAATCCTGACGAGCCTGTTCCCACCCCGGAGGAGACACTAGAGCTCTTACGCAGCCACGTGGACCCCAAGCAACTAGGAATAAAGATTAAAACTATCAGACCCCTATCAGAAGGAGATATAAAAATTCAAGTATTGGAAGATAAAGACTTACAGGTATTAAAGCATGCGGTGCAAAAGGAGGATGCCCTGACTGACAAGATAAAGCTAGTCGAGAAGGGGAAAAAATCACCAAAAATAATCCTATATAATGTCCCAACGGACTCAGAGGAGCAGGATCTATTAAAAGATATCTACAATCAGAATACAAAACTCCAGGAGGGAATCAGCGAACAAGAGTTCCTTGAATCTACCAAGATTTCACACAGTTTGAAAAAATAAAGTGACTAAAAAATGTGCAAGATTAATGGAACCTTAATAGTTGTATTAGAAGAAAAATCGAACAGGAGATATTAAGGAAAACATAGGAAAAGGGCTACCATATAAAAGATACACTTAATGGTGAAACGAGAAGGAGCAATTTTCAATAAAGAAAAGAAAGAAATGAAGAAAAGACGAAAAATATCAATTAACAAGGAAGAAACACAAAAGCTGGCATGCTAAAACGCTAAAATGGCTATAGAAATAGGAAAGGCGGCAGATCAAGCCCATGAGGAACTGAAAAGAAAAGGTAGGGATAGGCAGCTAATAAGAATTGCGACAACGAATGACTAAGCATCTAAGGACTTCATATAAAAGAAACAGATAAAAGATGAGAATAGTAGTGTGACAAAACTAAAGCTAAGTTCACACTGAGCGAATAACTGGTCAAACATAACTTGTTTGACAGGTTATTCGCTCTGTTTTTCGCTTTCGCTGGGGAATCGCTCTCAGTGTGAACTAAAGCTAAGGAAATATAGAGGAAAAACAGAAAAATTATTGAATGAGAACGAAGTGCCGGATTATAAAGCTAAGTAATAGCTACGCATGAAGTAAGCCGCCAATTCTTTATAAACATGATAAATATAAATAAATGGATTAATGTACTGTAGTTTATTTTTAAAAATTAAGTTTTATTTTCGAATTTACTTTTAATTAGCTGATTAGCAGTATTTATTATATATATATATATATACACACACACACACACACACACACACATATATATATATATATATATATATACTTTGTCAAAGTTGAAACTTATAGCTAACTGAGAAACACAAAGGACTCTGGAAGGGAAGTCGCTGCAGTCGGTGACACCACACGTATTTTGTTAAACTCACTGAAATAAAAATTTCTCGTTTAACAAGGAATTAATTTTATTTTTTCGAAAATGACATAAATGAAAGAAAAAACAATTGGAATAAAAAATAAAGCATGGAAAACCGTTTCTGTAGCAACAAGAATTACAATTTTTACAAATGTGGAAAGAAAATACACATCAGAATGTAAAATCAATATACCTAATCCTGTGGTCAATGATCCTTGGAATATTGGAAAGCCTATACGATACAGAGAATCTTTTAATTTCTCGTTTGGTATTTTGCATTGTGACATGATATAAGCATACGAAATATGAGCAGGATAATTTATACTGAAACCCACACACAGAATGAGACTCATCATTGATATAATATCCAAGTTGACACCCCATAAAGACATATAACCTAAGGTTTCTACCATTGAAGAAACAACTGATATTGCAACAATAATTGCGACTAATAAGTTCGGTACGAACAGCAGATAAACCGCTGTTATTAGCACAGCAGTAATCCAAAATAATTGGTGAATCATTTGTCCAATAATAATCCCTTGTTCAATCATCCCTGATTTTATACAATGTACTAGAACAGGAATGTCGGATTGGTCAGTGATTTTCATCAAATCTCTTAATGTATTTCTTTCTGAGTATGAAGAATTTAAATCTTTACTAATAATAAAAAATCTACTGTATAAGATGTCAGTTCCGTTGCTGTTAAAGACGACGTCATTAGACAGTGATTGGGCAGCTTTGATGTTAAAGAAAACATCACGAAGGCCATTAATGAAGTCCTGCTTGTTTGACATATTGTAACCCTGCAATGAGAATTTTGCTACGGGACTTTTCTGAAATTCTTTGTAGAATTTCAACCAAGACACAGTAAATTCTTCTGTAGCAATATTTGGATGTTTCTCGAATTTATTGAACAGATTTCCTATCGATTTTTGTACTTTTATATCCGAGTAATCCAACGTTTCATTAATAATTATCTGAAAAGGATATGAAAAATGCGTAAAGTACTTGAAATTAGTTTTAAGTCCTTGTGTAATTACAGAATCTTCTGGAAATAAATTTTCGTACTTAATACCATGCTGAATGTGAAATGTTCCCCAAATTCCAAACGACAAATTAATGACATAAATTATAATAATAATTATTTTCACCAGTATACCAGAAAGTATTTCTCCTAAGAAATCTTTAAAAAATACCATAGTAAATTCTTTTCCAGCGTTATTTTTCTCTTCAAGATGTACTTCATTTTGTTCTGAAATTAAAATAATTAGAAATTATATATGAAAGAAAGGGACTGAAAAATAAAACAACTAGAGTTAAATTCTATATAATATGTGTACAAAATTAATAATAGATAAATAATTACATAATATTAATCTTAAGGTTATTTGGTCTTATACTTTTTAACCTTTACAAAATTGTAGTAACTTAATTCGCATTGCGTGTATGAAGCAGACCTACGTATTTATTTTTTATATGCAATTAGAAAATGCCAGAAAAAAAAAGCAAATATCCATCTCCTATTTAACAAAAACTCAACAATATTGTTTAATAAAAACTAAGAAAAATGACAAAAAAATATGTATATATAAATATAAATTATAAATATCGCGATTTAAAATTATATAATCGAAGTGAAATAGAGACGTTAGACAATCTAAAATAATAAACTTTAAGATATTAAAATTTTATATTTTTTTTATAAAAATCGCAGTAACACCTGTATAGCCTAATTATAATAAAATGATAAATACAGAGAAATTATATTAATACACACTAATTAGCGTAGATAGAAATTAGTACAATTTTATGATTGACACAAAATCTTTTATATTTGAATATAATTTAATATATTCAGGTACATTTACATTTTTCATACAATCTTACTTCAGACAAGTTTTCCTATAGTGCTTACAGCGAAGGTTGCGTGAGCCCATGATAAACTACCCAACGATAATCAGGGACGGACTGGCCCTAAAATTTTTGTGTGGAAAATTTATTATCAGCCCAGCCCACAAATAAAAAAAAATGTATTTTTTTTTCTATTTATATTTAAATATATTCAAAATACAACATTGACAAAAATTACAATAATCACAAGTCTATATTCTACAATTATAATTTTTTATTTGAAAGTTTGCTTTGTTGAGCAATAATATTAATGGCATCATCAGAATGTATTTCGTTTAAAAAATCCTTCTCTACTGACATTAACATGAAGGCTTCTAGATTTTCTTGCGAGATACTTATAAGTATCTCAGTGGGGTACCGTGGGTGTCAGTCGCCCGGGACGGAGGAAAATTTCGTTCCCCCTTATTTAGTTATTTCAATTTAAAAGAGTAAAATTCATAGTGCAGCGACCTGTTTAAATAGCTCTATTGGATATTAGAGGTGTATATGAACGTGAATGAATCGTACAAGCAGAAAAAAAAGGACAACAGGTTATGCAGGATTTCCTGGAATGAAAAAATTACTACTTCACCCTGACGGCGTGCCCATTCCCGGACTGTCCGGGCGATAGAACTATCGTAGGCGCGACGCAAATATAGATTGGGATGGTTCAAATTTTTACAAGATATTATTATTATTTATTGTGAAATTTTGCCGCTCCCTAAAAAGTGCCACCCGGGTGGCCGCCCCTGCCGTCCCCACTACGGTACGCCACTGAAGTATCTTAGCTTGCTTTTAATTAACTTTAACATAGAAAAGCTTTGTTCACTGAACATTTGTGTTACAGACATAGATAGCAGATATTTGTATGCTTGACCAAGTATAGAATAAGCGCCACATAACATGTTATATCTGAATAATATACTATAACAACAAATATAGCAATTTTTGCAAGCAATGCGGTAAGAGGATAAAATCGCATCATCAGTAGAATGTTCATTTTCGTTTAATTCTATAAAAGTTTCATTGACATTTTCCTTTAAAATATTCCATGACGATTTAAAATGTTGCAATTCTGAAATAATATTGTGTTGGGTAGCTACTGGATTAAACTGTATTAAAATACTGCTTAATTTTTGAAATGCGTTTTCAGGAATATTTAGTGATGGTCCCGTAAATTTTGGTCTAATGTGCTTTGAACTCGCTGTAAGATGACAGTCGAACTCTCCCCGGTTGCTCTCTCTCC